GAGATCTTCAATCTCATGTTCCTCTCTCTGCATCACATCTTCGAACTGGGTCGTGCTCCTGGCTCTCAATGATTTCAAGCGCTGCATAGGTATCCACCGGCTTGTGAAGACCTGCATCCTTCACCATGGGGCGGACTTGATGGGGCGAGCACCTGAGGAGAGACGTGCCATGACACAACCAGAGAACTAGTTGTTTGCCCTCATCATCCTTTTCTTCTGCCACACATCGGGCTGGTCCACGACACTTGTTCTTTTGAAGGATGCCTGACCTTTGAATGCGCCAGTAGTAGCACATTTGTCCAACTGCAATGCGATGTTTTGTCCTTTTGAAGTTCTGCTGCATTGCTCGACGAAGTCTTGCATCAGAATCTGCTTTCAAGAATGCCATCTGTGCAGCAAGGCGTTTGGACAGAATCTGGTTGAAATCTAATGGATCATTCATGGGCGACAAATTGGGATTGAACACTGCCGATGTCAAACTGTAGGTGTCAGCTGCTGATCGTCCAAGAACCCACTGAGCTGGTGTAAATCCTCTGGTGTAGCTCAATGAGTTGATCTGACCTGGACAATATATAGCTGCTTCAGTCAGTGTCTTTTTGTCTCTGCGGCCACGCTCCTGCATGTAGATCTCGACACATTTGCGAACAACTTGGTGCTTCCTCTCAATGGAGCCAATCCAGTTGTGACTCTCTGCTGGAGCTATCTCCCGAACAATGTGCCTCTCTGAACACCAGTCTCGAAGATATTGTGCCGCGAAGCCCTTGCCTTCATCAACCCTCAAATACTTGGGAGTTGCAAAGTGCTTGATCCAACTTCGTTCAATGCCCTTCACTAGGTCAACCGACTGTTCACTTTTCATGACCCGAATGGCAATGTAACGAGTTGCTTGATCCATCAATGTCATGACACAAACTCTGCCATCATCAGTGTCGATCCATGCTGTGTCTGCAAGGAGACGTTCACCAAAAACTCTGGCAGTGAGTCCAGCTGCTGGTGCAACTCCAGCAGGGCCTTGTCTGATGTAGCACTCAGGATGCACATATCGTTTTGCTGCTGTCATGACATTGTTTGTTGCCTGCACCTCCTCAAGCATGCGACATAGCACTTCCATCCTGGGATGTCCGAGATTCTTGTGCAATCTCACCACATAGTTGAATGCTGCTTTGCCGACTTGCTTCTGAAGCTGTGCATTGCTCGTCACTGAGTCCACCTCCTTGTCAGCATCTTCGCGATAGTACTTGAGAATGTCTTGCTCAACATCTGGAACTTCTGCTTCCAACTGTTGTGGCTGTTGTTCAACTGGTTGCATCTCAATGTCATCGTCCTCTTCTGCGACGCTCTGGGTAGCTCTCTGCCAATGCACTGCGTTTCTTTCCACCTGGGGCGTTCCCTTCGATAGGAACATGAGTGTGCGAACCATCGCACTGCCATGAGAGTCCTTCAAAACAGACTCTTCTTTGTTGTCCTGAAGCATGTTGGTTTCTTTGCCAGCTCGGGCTTGCCTTCATGGTTGGGAACTGTCAAACCAAACATTGCCATACATGCACTGGTCAACATATGCATCGTAACTGATCTCCTCTAACCAGCAACAGCTCTGGTGACCACGCTCTGCTCAACCAAGGATGCTCCATTGTTGCATGGCGACCACCTTTGTATTGCTCTTGATATGCAACGGAACACATGGTCAAGATCGTATCATGATTGTATTCACGTTCTTCCACCAGCTTCTGTTTGTATTTCTCTGACTTCGCGATGTTGAGCTCCTGAATTGGGGACCACAACTTGCACATTGGGGCCATCAACAGCTCATTTGGTTCTTCTTCACGAAGCCTTTGGAGGAACTTGGACCGATGAGACCCGATGCGAAAGTCCCAACCTGTCTGTAATGAGAAGACCTCGGTCACAACATGAGGGTACTTGGAAAGAAAGATGCTTTGAAGTACGACCTTCGCCAACAAAAACTCCCCAAATCACACGACACGTTGTTTCCTTCTGAATGGTCTGACTGACCCTCATAATCTTGTCTTCCAGCCTGCATGCCTCTTCAGCTTGACGTTCAAACTTCCTCAGCATGTGGCCATGTAGCCTTTTGACCTGTGCCTCCTCATCAAAGCCGTCGTTCACACGATGTGTGTGAGCCGGCGATGCTGTCTGCGAAGCTTCCGACGCCAGATTGACGTCCTTTGAGACCATGACCTGTTCCAGCAACTTCTGCACTCCATGCGCGATGGGCTCGCCAACGTGTGATTCAACATCCTTTGGCAACAAAACCATCTGGGGTTCCTGCTCAATGAACTGACGAATGTCTTTGCCAAGGTGCAAAAGGTGCTCACATCTTGATCCAACTGGGAGTTCCTCCCACTCTGAATCTGGCCACTTCATCTGCTTGGCCCGGTAGTCAACGGTGAGTCCCAATCGTTCCAACATTGGTCGTCCAACCAAAATCGGGGCTGTTCCTTGAATGACGTATGTCAACACACCAATGCGGCTGTTGCTGAGGAACACGGGCAAAACAATGCACTTGTTTGTTGTCTCTTTCATGCTGTTGCCGTACTTGAAGCCCTTTGCACAACAAAGCATGGGGATGTCATTAATGTTGAACCCTTGCTCAAGCAGAAACCAAAGGTATTTGCGAATCTGACATGCTGAACCCAACACCGTTGCTGCACCTCCGTCTTGCACTGCTGTGTCATCACCAACAAAATCATCGTCTTCCATGTCAATGTGAAAGGCTTCTGTCGACAATGTTGTTGTTTCTGGAGGATCAACCGACTCAACCATGTTCACGCCACCTTCCAACTCATCTCCGATCTTCCTCTTCTTGTCAGAACCTGGTGGCGTGGGGCAGTTCTTTGCCCAGTGTCCGGCATTGCCACACCTCAAACATAGTTGACGTCCAGAACCCATTGCTGCGGCTGCTCTTGCTTTGGGATTTCCAGACTTGCCTCCTTTGGAACTTGGTTTTCCTTTGCCTTTCGACTTACTTCGATCCACCTTTGTTGCGACTCTTTCCACCCGAGGGACTTCCTGCTGCACTCGGCAGTATGGCCACAACAGGATAGAAGCCACGAGAGGTCCGAAGGGCGTTCATCTGAGCTTTGGCATGTTGCATCATATTCATCAACATCGTACACCTGCTCACAATGCTTTGCCGATGCTATGTCCTCAAATTGCTCTGTCGACCCATCTTGCCAATCGTCCCATTCGTCATCTTCACCATAGTATGTTGGAGAGGGATCAATTGCGAACTCTTGCGATCCAGCTGTCCAATCATACTGCTGTGCGTTTTCATCACAGTAAAATGTGTCAACTGACTTGCCCATGGGTCTTGTCCACCTGGTTGAGGATGAAGATTGAAGTGTCGAATCCTGTCCAAGAATGAAACTCATCGACTTCATCACCTCTTCAATGGTCAAGCCAGTGGTTCCTGTATTGGTCAGAATGAGTTGACGCTTCTCCTTGTTGATCCCTGAGCGACAAAGAAACCACCAAGCTCTCACTTTTTCTGGCAGGTCAACGTTGTGCGTCACCTTCAGCCTTCTCTCACAACGGGTGTAGTCGTTCATGTAATCCTGTAATGTCTGTTGTGGTTTCCTTTGCAGCTTCACGAAGTACTGTTCAACGTCGTCCGGCAACTCTGTCAGGGGATCAAAAGGAAATCCTCTGTCCAGCCTCTGGAACAACAGATCATATGCATCATCTCCTGACATCTGATCCATGGTCATGTCCTCGACCAAGTCCCATGCCTTCCCAGTCATCAGGGTGACTAGGTTGTAGACAACTTCACTTGTGTGATTGCCCGATTGCATCTTCTTTCTATAGATTTCACAGCGTTTGCGAAACTCACGGTAGTCCTGCATGTTGTTGCTAAAAACTGGAACATAGTTGTCGAGTTTTGCTGTGCTCACTCCACTAGGGACATTTGTTTGTCCTGCTGCAGCTTGCGAACTGGTAGATTGCCCTGGACCGTTCGACTGCTGTTGTTTGGGAGCCATGCCAACTCAATGTCAACAATCAACCAATGTCAACACAACGCCAGCAATGTCAATGCACAACCAAGCAACGCGGCAGCCCGCCAGGGCTCCGCTACCAACAGCAAGAGTTGATGGTAGACACTCCAAACTCTCTAACCAGCGAAGCACACGAAGTCTCCACCGAAACACGATCGTGCGATCTCAATCACACTTTCTCACCATGGCGCGCCGTGAGCTCAAAGGCCTGATCCCACCCAAGCTCGGCCGAGAAACATCGTGTCGATTAATCTCCACCACTGCACATCTCAAGTGAACCTAAGATTCAGGAGGAATCTTCACATAGCGTATAGTGCTATTAGAACGATATGCCGATATCTAATAATATATAGCCATAGCGTTTAGATGCGTTTAGAGTTTATCTATATATCTATACTATTTTATAGTGAAATGAAGCTGTTGTTGCGCTGTTGGAATGCAAACTTCGCACATTTTTGGCATGCACTGGAACTCGAATAGTGGGCTTGAGATGGCTTGAGCCCGCAGGAGGGTGCATTAGTTTTGCGGCAGGATTTGCCCAATGGGAGTCTCATGTGAGTGTTTGCAAATAAGTGCTGGGTACAGGGGCACCCCTCAATAGATCAACTCGTAAGAAGGGCCTTTGGAAAGACTGAGCTCGGAAGGATTTGTGAATTTTGAGCGTGTGAGGGTCCCACTCTTGAGACACTCGACTGTACAGCCAGCCTGGCGGGTCCTGTGGAACGTGTGGATTGAGCATCCCAGCGTGGAACAGGAACTGCTGGGCCCAAGAGCCTTGAAGCTGTTTGAAGAAAAACATGAATACACGATGGAGTCAATAGAGAAATGCATCATCAGTCAATGCGCCTTCAAAATCTTCAAAAGATACACTCCAGGCCACTGAAGTGTTGAAGTAGAGTGTTGGACCTTGCTGTTGAAGGAAGCGACCACCGACAGAAAACATGAGCATCCTGAGCAGGGACACTGAATGTGCCGTTCACAACTTCTCAGGGTGGCTCTCTATATGTGCCACCTCCACGTCGAACAAGCGCCGCTGACTTAAATGCGTGCTATTGGAGATACTTTTGGAGAGGCTGTTGATCAAACTTGTCAAACCCAAGACATCAGTTTTGGGTAGGTCCGGCAAGTTGAAGTCGTCATGCTGTTTTCCTCCATGTTGGTGCCCTGCAGGATGGCCACAACCCTGAGGCATGGCCAGGGCCAGCTGCCAAAGAAGCGGTGTCATTTGCAATACAATGGCGATGTCCAAGAGGTAAGGTTAAAATTTTGCGTTTGTGAAGTCAGACAATATCAATATGAATTGAAAGCATGCTGCACATAACATGCCTTCATGTGCGGACGTTCCTCGGATGATTAGTTTCACTTGCAACAGGGCGCTGTCATTTGAAAATAGTACTGCTACAGCATTTTGCACTTTGTTCCAGAGGCATGACAACTCATGATTCGGATCCTCAAACCAAGGCGCACCACTAGCCCACGGCGATCAGAAAAGCTTTTAGCTCAGCCCACATTAGGCCTTGTGTCATGCACAGCTGGCAACTGTTTCAGTCTTGGGAGATGGTCTTCTCATGTCTTCTCACGTTTATTTACGACCAAAACCGCAGACGTTCCAAGTGTTGGCATTGTCACGTGCATTGTCATGATGTGTCAACTGCCCTTAGGCCAGACCCTGCCAAAGACTCGGAAGACCTTTTTCAGACCATTCTTGTTGCAAGCCACTGCACGCTCTTGAGGACTCCGGCACACCAGCGTCTGCCCTTGTACCGGCAAGGAACCTGAGGCAAACCCAGCATAGCACGTTGAGAGTGTACGTTGGTGCTTGAAATTGAAAGCAAATCAACGGTTCATTGAATCAATGTTTCTCGCCAAGTCCTGTGTCGTAGTCGAAAAGCAAATGACTTGTACACATCACCCTGAAGGCAAGAGATGCCATGGCCAAAACCCTCGGGACCAGCCAGCGCAGTTTGGACCTTATGAAATGCTCAAGCGTGGACTCTCTTGGCTAGCCAGGTCGATCGGGCAGGGTTTATTGTTTTGGGCACCCGCTTCCAAGGCATGTCCAGTGGGACGGATTCGTCGCACGGGCAGGCCCTGAAATAGCTCTGCACGAGACTTGCTATTGAATTAGCTGCAGGCTGGAAAGCCCAGATCGTCGGGCCCGGACCTCAAACGCTTTTAACCTTGCCAAGCCATGTCAGGGCTTGTCCACGTACTAAAATAGAAGCAACCTCTAGAAAAATCAGCGTGACTGACCAGACAGGAGCACGGAAATCTGACGAGACTAAGCAGTCTAGTCTAGTCCGTTGTTTAATGTATTCGATTCAGTGTGGTTGGGAACTGCCAGTGCACATGAGCGTTGCAGAATGAGTCACTTGAGGTGCAGCTTGAAACATCATGCAGCAAGTGGTCATACGAGATACCAACCAATATTGCCAAGGCAACAATTTTGAGGAGCTACACTCTGTTTAGGTTCATGAGTTGGGAGACCAGAGCTTTTGGGCCCACAACCGTCCTAGGCGATTGCCTGATGCATTCACGAACACAGGTTGTGACAAGACCAGATGCTGTGTCGACGGGTGATCCAACGTGCTCAAAGATCCCGAGATACTTTGGTGATACTTCAGTGATCTCGTCACAAGATCTTGTTCAGATTCTTTTCTGGACTCTTGCTAAACGCCAAGCCAACTATAGAACTTCGACACTAATCCGAAGGTCACATGATAGCAATTGGCAATGGCATTATTCCTTTCGACCGTCTTGCTTTTGGCGGTCTTCGTGAGTTTCTTGCTGTGCCACTTGCTTACGGCGACTCGGCCCACGCGTTCCAGCTTGTTCTTGGCCTCCTTGGCATCAGCAGCTTGGTCAAAAGTGACTCAAACAACAAAACAGTGACAGTAACTTTCAGTGTTTCTTTTGTTTGTTTTGGATTCTCACGCCAGAAGATAAAACGCTCACCCACAAAGCCGCCTTGGATCTTAGACAATTCTCGAAAGTGCTTCGACAGGTTTTCTTCGGCTTCGACAACTTCTTGATCGCCTACGCTGGCCGTTTGCTCAAGCCCGCCGAGTACATGTCAATGATGTTTTTGGCAATTTTTTGTGTAGCTGCACTAGGATCCAGTTTGGTGGCCTGCACTTGCCCGAGCTTCAAGGAAGAAGCTAGGGATCTATGGAAAGCCTCAAGAATGCAGCGCTTTTGGATTGTTGCGAGTGGAGCCTTGATAGCCTTGGCACAAACCTCGGCTTGCATGAGTTTTTCGCTGGACGAAGTGGACTCAGGGCCACTCCAATCAATTGTCATTGCCAATGTACCGATTGTTGGCATATTTTTCTACTTTTGGAGCAATGAAACCTTGTCCAAGATTCAACTTCTTGGCTGCGCATCAATCATGGGAGGAATTACTTGCATGTTTTGGAATGACTCACCGGAGGAATCAAGTGGCTTCGACAACTCTTCCTCCTCGTCCTTCACTTCTTCATTTGCATGGATTTGTATTTCAACCCTTTTCTATGCCTTGTCGATCATAACCATCCGCTTCGCTGGTGAGGAGGAGCTACCAGAGCGGCCAAAGTCATTGGCAATTGTGCTTTCTTCGGGCTTTCTGGGATTTGTTGTACTGAGATTCTCTTTGTGCGGCAAATTGCTCTTTGCGTTACATCTTGAGGTTCTGATGTGGGCCTCGCTGAACGCTGTTGCATCCATGCTGGGCCTTTTGTCAGTCGTCCTTTCCTATGAAGTCCCTGAGGCCAAGATGGCATTGGCCACAGCACTGATTGATAGCAATGCAGTGCCAATGTGTGGTTTGAACTTTGTGCTTCTTGGGGCCGTACCAGGGACATCAAAGCTCGTAGGTATGGCTTTAGTATTGTTGGGGTGCGCCGCTGGATTCATGGGGCCTAAGCCAGATGAGATGCCTCCCGTTCAAAAGCTTTCGGACCTATTGTTGGAGGGCTCAATGGACGGCAGGAGGCTTTCAACTCGACAGGGTCATGGATAGGCTTTTGATATGCCGTACTGGCGTGCTGCATTTGCTGGAAAAAGGGCCAGCTCCTTCGATTCAGCAGTAGCTCCTTTGAGCCTCTCTTTTCGGTTTATGTATGCTTATGTTGTTAATTCTATATATTTTTGTTTGTTCCCCGATCATTTTGACTCAGGCACCGTGCAGCGGAAGACGCCTCGGCGCTAGTCGGGAGGACAATTCGCACTCCTTTGCTTCATATGTTTAGGCCTTGGCCACCAGGATGCAAGATCCGTGGAAAGGATGCGAGATCCCCAAATGCTTGGCCACTTCTTGTCACTGGAAAATGTTAGTCACAAAGTTTGACCCACAGGATAGGCTCAATTGAAATGGCCAGTTGCGGGCAGGACACTCGAGTGGTTTCACCACCGCCAAGACCTCAACGGAACTCCGCGTGAAGGGGGCCATGATATCTCTTGACATCATCATCAAATGACCATTGAACTCACGTGTAACATCGTGCAACATTGTTTAACCAGTCGTTGCTGGCAGTGGCAACAGTGGCAATGGCTGGCTCGATGGTTTGGCTGCCCTTTGTTTGGAGATTCTGAAGGACTCAAACACCTCCAAAAAAGACCTGCGAAGAGGACCTGAGTTACTCGTCCGCGTGAATTCTCGGTTCAGCTCTACTCTAGCTTGAGCTTTGTGATAAGTAAAGCAGCATAGGGTAAGAAGTTGCATGGTCAGTGAAGCCCAGTAGTTATATATGCGATGGCTCTTTCAAAGACATCAGCTAGCACAAACACAACACTCGGGTTCTTGCAGGAGCCTGTTGCGCCTCAGAAGTCTCCAGCAATGATGGCCAGACAAGGTATGGTGCGTTCATCCTGGCTCTTGCCTTGCAGTCTTCGAATTCCTGTTCAACCTCATTGGCTAGAGCTCAGGTTCACTTGCTTGTATTTCTCTCCTTTTACCAAATGGATTCACTCAGGGCATCCACTTTTGATCCAGATCGAACTCAAATTGTGTTGTTTCAGGAAGCTCCGTGGCACTGGGCATGGCAGGCCAGGCATGGCGAAGCAGAGGATGATGTTTGGTGAGATTTTCGGTGCTTGAGACCATTTTTGCTTATAGTTCTTCAGCAGTATTACTACTGTTACTACTAGTGGCAAGAAGCTACTATATAGTAACAGGGGCACTACTTCTAGGAACAAGAAGCTAGTAGGTTGGAGGCCATCGCTATTAGGGTGGAGGCCATCGCTACTAGCATAGTTCGTCAGTATTTCGGTGCTTGAGACCATTTTTGCTTGATTAGGTGCGTTGAACATGTCACCGAGTGACTTGGCTGAAAGGCGCTACGCCGCTACGCAAGCAAAGTCTCTATTTTTGCTGACTCATGCTGTCCAACGTCTCAGGTAATCATGCCCTGTTTTTAGAAAACAGCCCCGGCGACCGACACAACTCCTGGCAGTTGGAACTTCAGATTGTTTGCGTGATATCTCCGGCTGCTTGCTGACACAAGCTGCTCACTACTAGCCGCTCACAAGCCGTTCACGGGATACAATCACCAAGGCCGACGCCACAAAACAGCTGCTCAGGCCTGTCGTCCACAGCGTGTTTCACAGCGGCAGCTTGTAAAAGCATAAATATCTCGATGTGATGCGTCATGATCCATAAACGTAGTTTGAATGTTGTGGATGTGTGTAGCAAAAGTTTTAACAAGTAATCTGCAGGGATTCGGGGCCCCTCTAGGGCCCATAAGACAAACCAACACCGATGTTGGGTGTGGATGCAGCTCGGATCGGTGTCTCGCAAGGTTACCAGCTGGTCTACCGGCCCGATGTTCCACTCAGTGCGAGGCGGCTGAACATGATTGGCTCCACTTTAAAATTTCATGGTTTTTTGCACCCGTGCAACGCAGCTTTAATATGTTTAAGCTTTAGTGTCACTTACACAAACAAAGCAATGGCGCAACCAGGTCCTCGCGTGGTTTGCAAGTCTGAGTGGAATATTTCACTTGCAGTGCTCCAAACAGCATGCTGGTGACCTATACTTATACTGCTCCCAGTTCCGATGTAAAGTGCAAACCGATCTTTGGAATGCATGCGTGCCGAAAAGAAAAACTTTTTGTTCCCCACTAACAGACCTGGTTTTTGTACCGGGCCTGCGCATACCGAAACAGTGTTACATCTCAGAGGTGCCTGATAAAACATGAAAAAAAACACGGTTGGGACTGTGTCAGGAGTTTCCAAAAGTTGTCTAAAGCCTGCGGCCTGCGTGCCTCCAAATGTTGCTCCAGGAACAAGACACAAGGAAGGACCGAGTTCATTGGTATGTTGCATGAGACAAGCATAGAAAGACGGTCTAGGTATACGTTTTCCATGAAACGTGTGCAAATTACATCACCCCACATCCCAGTTCGTGTGGTTGACTTAAACAAGCTGAAGATGGTGGCTTTGGAATTATGGAATTGAGTTTCCAACACGGATGAGACAATTTCAGATTCGAGACCTGAACTTGGCCTTTAAGATCCCAACACCAAGGTCCTAGAAACCTAAGCCCCAGCAAACCTCAAGAAATCCAAATTTTTGCACGGATCCTCACACAAATGCTGATACTGTGTGTACGGACGTGGGCCCTGAACTGCAGGGTTCAGAATATTGGTCAGCTTGTGGACGCTTGTGTACAGTGTTCATCACTGGTCCTTGATAGGGGATAGACCAAATCGCCGTCGTCGCAGCCTCCACATCCACACTTCGGACTTTGGACCAGGCTGCCTCATGCGGCCAGGGCAAATTCCTTAGATTGTGGTCGAATGAAAGCAAGCTCTCGGTCTGACAGAGGAACAGTACATACTTTTTGATACTCCAATAAGTTTTTGCCTGGCTAAAAACCTAAGTGTCCTACCGTTTCCTTCGGCTATTGACAAGGCTAGCAGCATGGAGCTACCGCCTGGCCAGAATCATGGCCTGCGACCCATTTCCCATGGTGGCATTTAAGGGTCCCTCTACCTGACCTTTGGCACCGGAATGGCAAGCCATGCAAGGTGTTCTTTATTCACACTTCTTACCATACTATTTTTGTTTACTAGTTTGTGGTTTCAACACAACAAGTAACCTGGCATATGGCTATATATATATATAAGTGCTGGAATCACATCCTTCCTTTGCAGCTTGTACCTGACGTGAGCAGGTTCTTGATGACTTTGTGTGCTCCTGATACGGTAGATGCAATATGATAGTGTCTTGACACCAGCCCTGTATTGACGTTCTTCAACTGATTCATGGCCACACTTCCGAGCTATAGAAAGTGGCTACTGTATTTGTAGAGAGTAGCGACTTGGACGGATGTCGAGAAAGTGTGTTTTATTGCATGCCGTGCAATGTTTGAAAGGGATAAAGGACACGGCGTTCTGGAAACGAACGGAAAAGATCGGACTTGGTATGCAATGTATATATATATACAAAGAATATTGAAGTGAGAGCCAGAGCTGTGTGTATATAAATCTGAGTCAGCGCTCTCTACAAATCTAGAATCCCAGACATACTGGGGTTAAGATAGTGACATCAACAAACACCAAAAAGTACCTCCAAAGTTAATCTCCGCGTTTCTTAAGGAATTCTGCCGAGCATCTATGCATAAATTTAAGTATGTATATATATATATGTCTCCAGAACTGTTTGCATGTACAGCCCATAAGTACTCCGCTAGGATACTGCAGACACGCGACTTATGATATGTTTTGGCTCAAGGTGAAAAGGCGTTCCGAAACGTCGAAACCTCGTTTTCATGGTAGCGCACGAGTCCGGTGAGAGTGACAGAGACAAAGCGCTGCGCATAAAGGAAGAGAGACACGGTAAAGTCGAGAGCTCCGAGGAGGAGGAGCTGGGACCCTCGGGAGCGGCAGCTTCTGCCGCCCCGAGTGGAACAGGAGAAGAAGGAAAAGTAAAAGACCAGCCTTTGCCAGCCACATCAGCGGCGGATCCAGCCGCAAGCACCACTCCAGCGGTCGAGAAGACCGCAGAAACAACTTCAGCGGCTGAGAAGACCGCAGAAACAAAAGAAGAGGAGGAAAATACAAAAGGAACAGAAGGACCAGGAGAGGAAGAAGAGCCTGAACAAGACCCGACAGCTGAGCCAGAGGCTGAAGCGGCTGATCCAGCCGCACAGCCGTCGTCTGGCCGAGTTATCGCCGATTTCATCACCTCCCCAGAAGGTGTTAAGACTGGTTGGGAAGTTCGTGGCATTCACGCCAAATACACCCCAGCCAAGGTCGATCCCAAAGCACCTTGGAGGAAGCAGGTGAAGAAACAGATTTGGGGCCAGGTCAAGAAGCACCCAGAACCAAAGTCCGGATTCCGATTTCGAAGCAGAGTTTCGCTTCAGTATCGGAAGCTCAAGGACCTGGTCAGGTTGCAGAAGAAGCAGGGTGTCATCACAGAAGACTTGAGGAGGCGCATCAGGAGCAGAAAGCCCGCAACAAAGAGAGGCGAGCCAAGAAGAAAGGTGAAGCGGCTGATACAGCCGACGAGAAAGAAGAAGAAGAAGAGAGCCAATCGGAAGAAGAGCCTTCCGTGAGGTTGAAGGAAAGGAGCCGCAGTCCAGCGCGGCAGCCTTGAACTCCAGACGGGCCGCCACCGGCCCGCCGACCTCAGAGCCGCGATACAAATCGTGGCCGAGCGGCTTGGGGTCGAGCTTTGGAACTCAATCTCCGAATCATCACCCTGGCCAATCAGCGAGCCCAGAATCAGCCGATCGAGAATTGGAAGTTGGAAAGTCCATTCCAAGTGAGAAAGATAGCGGCTGACGAGTTGGTGGAATCAAGGGGCTTGAAGGGATCCATCGCACTTGCCGCAATCCGAGAACTTTGGAAGACTCCGAACGAGCAAGGCAAGAGAGGATCTGGTGAGGCTTGCAGCAGCTGCGACGAGCGCAAGAAAGCGCAGCTTCCTGCCCTCCAAGCCTATATCAAGGCGAGGGTCATTTGGAAGCGAAGTTTCCTAATTCTTTTTGATTTTTGATAGGAGCACGCTGTCCGCATGCGATCGCTCAATCACCCCTTTTGTTTGTCCTTTATGATCACTTGAAGTTGTTTAATTTCCTAAAGAAGCATGAGAAAGACGGAGTGAAGCAGGCGACCACGATTTGAGCGGTGGCGCACGGAAATGTATGTTTGTCCGTTTTCTTTCCTCTCAAGTGGTGGGAGGGTAGGAGAGCAGCGCAATGCATGTTGTCGGGGGGGGCCTTGAATGTGACCAACACGTGACCGCCCAAGTGAAAAAGACTGTCAGAGTGGCGTATCTCAGTTGATCAGCTGACTTTGTGCTTTGTGTCTTGTGAAACGAAACGATGTCATTATGTGGTCAAGGTTTGGGATTGAGTCAAGAATCTCAAAAGGATTGAAAGGTCCAGCAAGGCTTGGAGCAAGTGCCAAGGCAAAAGTTGAGCCTGAGGCAAAAGGAAAGGCCAAAGCAAACGCCAAGGCCGCACCTTCGATCGGCCGCAATCCAGAGGAGTTGACCTCTTCGGGAACCCGGACCACTTCAGAGGCCCGTGTGATCCCAAAATCTCCTTCTGATCCTTCCCAAGGGTGAAAGCCCTTGGACCGGCCTGGTAAGGGGCCGGAGATCGGACGAATCGTCCGCAGCGCAGCGCTTTTGGGAGTTTGGGAACGGGTTCAAACCATGGCTTTAGAACAACAGATACAGCAGTTGTCTGATATGGTTTTGCAACTTCAGCAAAACCAGGCACGTTTGGAACAGGAAAACCAGGTACTGAGAGAATCCCAAGGTGGGGTATCTATGTTGGCTTCAGCAGTGGGAGAACTGGCCAAGAGCCTTGAGAAAAAGGATGATAGACGAAAGTCCCAAATACTTGTGGATACCGAGGGTTTGGGACGCCCTGAGAGTTTTGGGAATGTTGAAGGGGAGTTCCGAAAGTGGGCCAGGAGCATAGACAACCTGTTTATAACTACCTTTGGGAGAGAGTTCATTGAAATCCTTGAGTACATCTTGGAGCAGGAGGACACGATTGAAATGACCCGCATGGAGTCGGAATTCGGGGCCGGTACTTTAACGGACCTCGATGATTTGGAGGACAAAGCGGATCAGATTCACCGTGTTCTCCTGACCCTGACCTCAGGTGAAACAGAGGATTTGATGGTAGGAGCTTCAAGTGGAAATGAAGCATATCGAAGGGTTCACCGTCGCTGTGATCCCCGAACCTCGGGACGGAAACGCAATATACTTCGAGCAATTCTCCAACCCGAACGAGTCAAAACGTGGGCCGCGGTGAGGCCAGCGATCGAACAGCTCGAAGAACTCATCAGGCGGTACGAATCCCGGAGGAGTGCCGCAGGGACAAGGGAGACTCTATCGGACGACATTAAGCCCGCCTCATTAGAGATGCTTGTTCCACCCGATTTGGAAAAACACCTCCTGTTGAACAAAAGTAGACTAACAACCTACGCACTCATCAAACAGGAAATCGAGCTTGATCGAGCTTGTTATCGAAACGTCTCTCACGTCGAAGTCAACTGTTCCGAAACCCGGTTCATCAAGCTCTAGCTATCAAGGACCCCAACCAATGGACGTCGATTCGATCGGACAATCGATTGCAAGCCTAGTCAAAGGAAAAGGTAAAGGAAAAGGTAAACAGGCTAAAGGTGATGGAAAGAAAGGCTCAAGCAAAGGAGGCTCAAGTAAAGGCTCAAGCACGGCTCAAGATATCACCTGCTATAATTGCGGTAAGAAGGGACACAGAGCGGCCGATTGCTGGAGCAAGAAACGGCCGGATGGGAAAGGCGATAAATGGTCAGGTTCAGGCAAAGGAGACAAGAGTGGCAAAGGTGGCAAAGGCAGTAAAGGCAAAGGTGGAAAAGGCGGCAAAGGTAGAGCCGCAGGTAGTATGGAAGAGGTAGATGATCCGGATGATGGCATTGAGCCAGCCCCGGAAGCAGATGTCGGAATGCTCATGGCAGACTTGAGTGGAATTGGAATAGCGGATACTTCATCCGCCGAAGAATGGATGAAGTTTAACCTGGATACTGGAGCAGCCCAGACAGCCATCCCGAATGGCTGGGAGGACCGAGTGGTTGTCAGTGAAGGCAACGGGGTTGTTTTCAAGACTGCGTCAGGAGAGTTGGTGCCCAGTCAGGGCATTGGAACCTTTGAAGGGTTCGATGAGAGCGGCAACAAACGCCGTGTGAAAGGTTCAATGGCCGATGTTCACAAGCCATTGATTTCAGCGTCCAAATGCCCAGGCTTTGGAAGGATTGCAGTTCTTGATGTGAATGGCGGAAGCTTGATTCCGCAAGGACCCAAAGTTGGAAAGGCTGTTCAGGAGATCCTGGAGAAAGCAAGCGCTGCAGAGCAGCGGAATTGGATCCCTGTGTACCAAGAGCAGGGAGTGTACAATTTCTACTTGAGAAAGCCAGGGTATAAGCCGACCAAGGAATGCTGTGGCATCGCAGAGTTGAACGCCGCAGGTGAGAGAGGAGATGCTTCTATGGATTCAGGCCGACCTGGTCCAGAGGGGCAAGAAGAGGATGATGAGTTGTAATTAGTCGATGCCAGATAAGAGCACCGGAGGATCCGACTCCGGCTGAGATTGAAGAGCACGAGGCGACAGGCCATGTGCAGTATCGGAATTGGCGCCGGCATTGCATTGCTGGACGGGCTGTAGGACAGCCGCATCGGACAAGGTCCGAGGAACAGAAGGCCAAGAGCCTTGTGCCCACAGTGGCAATGGACTACACGTTCATGTCACGGGGCGGTGTGGAGGACGAGCGAGTGAAGCCGATCCTCGTGGTGAAAGATGAGAGGACACAGTCCTTAGCGGCGACCTTCGTGGACTCGAAGGGAGCGACACCGTATGCAGTGAAGTTCGTGGCGAACTTCTTGAAGAACTTGGGACACCGCAAGGTGGTTCTCAAATCGGATGGTGAGCCATCCATAGTAGCCTTGAAAGAGGCAGCAGCAAAAGAAACCGGCATAGACTGGATTTCAGAAGAATCGCCAGTAGGAGACCATCAAGCGAATGGCCTGGCAGAGAACGCCTGGAAGGAGGTCAAACGTCAAGCACGAGTCCTCTGCAGTGCGTTGGAACAGAAGCTCAGTAAAGAGCTCAAAGATGATGATCCTGCGTTGGCATGGCTGCCAAGGCAGGCGGGAGACCTGTTGAGTAGGTACAAGAAAGGTCAAGATGGCAGAACGCCAGAGGCCAGGAGATGTGGGAAGCAGTGGCGGAAGCCCGCCATAGCTTTTGGCGAACGCCTATACTTTAGAGAAGTAGGCGAGGGAGTTCGCATCCTGAAAGAAGGACGCTATGTGGGCCACCATGGCCGGACAGGATCCATTTTGGTGATGACGGCCGATGGCGCGCGCAGAGGCACAGGAATCCGGCGGCTGAGTTCAGCCGACCGCTGGGACCCAAGTGGTTGGGACCTTTTGCGGGGCTTACCGTGGGAGCACTCCGCGGCAAGGCCTGCCGGTGAGCAGCTGATGCTCGAAGAACGTCTTTTGGTACCACCTCTTAACGAGGAGCGAGTGGCACCACCGCAACAGAGACGAGTGTACATCAGGAGAGAGGATGTGCGCAAGCACGGAGCCACAGAAGGCTGTCCAGGATGCAGTTGCATCTTGGAAGATAAGAGGACGACCTTGCCGCACACAGAGGCGCGCAGAGCAAGGATCACTGAAGCAATGAAAAAGGATGAAGCTGGGCAAGCGAGACTCGAAGCCCATGCAAAGAAGAGGAAAGAACGGCAACAGCTTGACACTGTGAAGCCGAAAGTCGTGGCCGACAAGGATACAGACATCACGGCTGAAGACGCGGCCGGAGAACCGGAGAAGAAAGAAGAAGCAAAGAGCGTAGGATCGGGAAGCCCGCCGCCAACAGCGGCAGAGGGTGAGAAGACCTATCCCGAAGACCCGAAAGAGAGATATGAGATGAAGAGACAAGCAGCCGAGATGGAGAAGAAACCGGTGGCGAAAGCCAAGGTAGCAACAGAGCCCAAGAAGAGAACAGGAGAACTTAGGATAGATCCACCAGGGGCAAAAGTCAAACCGAATCCAGCCCAAGGAACGAAGAGGACGGCAGGGACTGCCGTAGAGGAACTTGACCCCAGAGTGGAAGAGCGTCCAAAGAAAACGTCTCCGTTTTCGTACGTTCCAGAAACACCACCTGCAGGGTGGAAGCCAGATGCAGCAAGCTTGGTAAAAGAGAAGGAGATCGCAAAACAGCATCTGAGAAAGATCATTCAAGGAACCTATGAGGCAAATGGCATCGAAATTACTGAGCAAGAGATCGGAGACATCGCGCATTTGAGCATGCAGATGTCAGCAGTAGATATCATGGAGATCTACTCGCCCAAGAGGTTCACCGCACTTGCAGAGCGGTATAGGTTGCGACCGGGCTTTGCGGTCGACTTGAATGAGATGAAGGAGGATGGAACATACTGGGACTTGAACAAGCCCCAAGACATCCAAGAGGTGCATGACATCGTGGACAGGGATGAACCAGTCCTTTTGACAGGTTCCCCCCCATGTCACATGTTTTCTCAACTCCAGAACCTGAACTGGAAGAACATGGCACCGGATGTGAGAAGGAAGAAGATGGATGAGGCCATCCATCACTTGCACACAAGCGTGGAGTTGTATGTCAAGCAACATCGCGCTGGACGCAAGTTCCTTCATGAGGCACCATGGGCCGCAACCAGTTGGAAGGATGAAAAGGTTGAGGCTCTAGCAAAAGAAGATGGAGTGTTTGTGGTGAAATGTCCAATGTGCAGGTGGCAGATGATGGCCACCGATCGAAGAGGACTCCAAGGTACCGGCTATGTGAGAAAGGAGACCGGTTGGATGACCAACGATGAAGGGTTGGCACGAGTTCTGCAAGGAGTCTGCTCGAATGAGTCGGGCAAAGGACCATGGCACCGACACATCCACCTGATCGGAGGCATTGCTAGGCAGGCAGCGGTATACCCACCGCAGCTTGTGAAAGCAGTGTTGAGGAGCCTGCGGGACACGCTAGCAGAGAAAGGTGAACTGAACACCTTTGATCTGTTCGCAGCAGGTCCGGTTCCAGAAATGCCTCTGATGGACCCAGAGTTCGAAGAGGTCTACATGGATGATGTGAATGGCGGCATTTTGCCAGCCGAGAAAGTGAAAGAGGCAAGACGCCTTGAGATGGACCACTTGAAAGAGAAGCATGGCGTTTATGTGCCAAGGCCGAAAGCCGAGTGTTTTGAGGAAACGGGGAAGCCCCCGATTCCAGTCCGATGGTTGGACACTAACAAAGGAGATCCAACAAATCCGAATTACAGGAGCCGATTAGTTGTGCGCGAGATAAAGGCCAGGAAGACCAAAGAAGAACAATTGCCAGCCAACTTGCTTTTCAGCAGCACATGAGGCTGCTGTGCTCGTTGTGGGCAACAAAGAGAAAGTCCTGCCACAACCAGCCACTGAAGCTGGGCTTGTGGGACATCTCACGAGCACACTTTTATGGAACCCCAAAGAGAAAGATCTACATAGAACTGCCGCCTGAGGACGAAGCCAGCAAAGACGGACAGACCTGTGGACTTCTCGTAAAGCCGATGTACGGGACACAGGACGCTCCGAATATTTGGCAGACGCATTACACAGAGACTCTGCAGAAGGTTTGTCGAATGCGTCAGTCTTCTACCAAGAAGCTTGGGACGTCAGAGTTATGGTGCATGGAGATGACTTCCTAGCACTTGGAGATGCCCAACACTTGGAGAAGCTCAGTCAAGTCCTCAAGGACGCTATGAGCTGAAATGTCTCGGAATGCTTGGAGACGAGGATGGAGACCGAACAGAAGCACACTTTCTGAATCGGTTGATCCGAGTCCATAAGAGGAACGGTAAAGGATCAATTGTGATTGAAGCCGATCGGAGACATGTTGATCTTTTGATCCAGGCATTTGGCTTGGAAAAGGCAAATGGTGTAGAGTCACCAGATGTCAAGAAGTCGGCAGATCAGCAGATGCTGGAAAGCCGCAGTCCGCTGCTAGATAAGAGCAAGGCATCGAGGTATCGCTCAGCCACGATGCGCGCTGCGTATCTGTCCCAAGATCGACTTGATATTGGGCACGCAGTGAAGAACCTCGCTCGAGGTATGGTGTCGCCAACAGAAGCCAAACTTGCAGACTTGAAACGTCTCATCAGGTACCTTAAAAAGTACCCTGATGTTGGGCAATGTTTTGGCTCACAGCAGGTACCCTCAAGGTTGAGGATCCAGGTCGACGCTGACCATGGTGGAGATGCTGTGACACGCAAGAGCACGACTGGCATGGTTGCCATTTATGGCACACAGCAGTAACATCCAATCCACCATAGCCCTTTCGACAGGCGAGAGCGAATACTACGCGCTCGTCAAGGGCGGATCTGTGGGCTTAGGGCTTCAGAGCCTATGCGCAGATCTTGGTTTGGATTTGGAAGTCACCATACAAAAGGCGATTCCAATGCAGCCAAAGGAACCGTCAACCGAGTTGGATTGGGTAAGGCCAGACACATCCAAACTCGTTACCTATGGTTGCAGGAAAGGGTTGCCGAAGGCCACTTGAAGGTAAGAACAAAGCCGATGTGTTGACCATATCGGTTCCTGGGGTGCAGCTTCGCAAGACAATGGAGGACTTGCAAGATGCCTTCCTCAGCAAGCGAAGCAAAGGGCAGCTGGATGTTTTGGAGTGAGGTCCCTGGCCAAGCTCCACTACCACAGCTGAGAGTGGCTTAGCAGCGTGAGGTTTCACATGTTTACTTTGACTTGCGCAGCAGTACAGTGCTTTGCAAGAGGAGGAGTGTTTGCATGTACAGCCCATAAATACTCCGCTAGGATACTGCAGACACGCGACTTATGATATGTTTTGGCTCAAGGTGAAAAGGCGTTCCGAAACGTCGAAACCTCGTTTTCAAGAACTGACCTCAGACCTCATTATAGGTCTTCACACGACCTTCCTTTACAAAGCAGTGGTTTTGGTATTCCAGGTTTGCTTTCCACTGTGCAACTTGCTTCGCGCGCCAAAAGTCGCCTCCAACTGTTGCCCATCTTACAAGCCGGGCCCAACTTCGCGATGCGCCGCAGTGTCATTGGACTAAGGGATTTTCTCAGGTGTGTACAAGCGGCTGTGCTTGTAGATTTTGTAGGAAAAGTGAATAGATGGCTCAGTGACTGCTGCTGCACTCCCTACTACCACACTATTGGCCTAGAACATCCTAACTATCCATGCGGCTGAGGTGTAGTACCTCCTGGGGTTATTGCCCACAGCTTACTTGTCAGTGTTCCTGTTGCAGCTGTAGTCAGAGCTTGGTACTCAGTGCCATCAGAAAGCAAGGTTCGACCCAAAGCACTCCCCACAGGCGTGGAGAATAGGATTGTCAACCTGTGACCTTTCATCATGGCATGGAAAACGTGGAGAAACGAATTCAATCAGATTTCCTTTATTTTCTCTTTGTGTCATCAAGTTGAATTCCTGAGCTTCACAGCTCAACAACTACAATCCAGCTGCTGGACATTTGGTGCGACAGAGAAAGAGCATCACTAAAATGGAAGTAAATTTGCAGAAATCTAAAAGCAAAAGTCAAAGCACTTGCCTAACGCATCCTAAGACTAAGTGAATAAGTGTCCATCCTTTTGAGGCTTCGCGCCAGGCCTCCTGTGGAACATCCAGGCTGGAATGGTGCCCGGGCCCAAAGCGGAACAGTGTCTGCCCTTATGGCACCTGAGGTGTCCAGGCCAGTCCGCCCTATGTATCCAGGCAGTGGTGGGACGAGCAGCTTCTTGCTCCTAGTAACGATGTCAGGAGCCCCTAGTAGCTTCTTGTTCCCAGTAGTAAGGCCAGGAGCCCCTAGTAGCGTCCATAGCAACCTTCTGAATCTAAGCACTTTTTCTTCCTGCGCTTAGGGATAGAGTTGACACAACAAGCTTCAACATACGTACAGTTCCAAAGTCGAGAACCGATGGTTTGTTTCACTAATTTGGCTTTCACATATTTGTCGCCTCTAGAAGTCTAGCCGTTGCCAGGTGCCAAGTCTTGGCAGCCACGGGCATGATTATCTCAGTGCGGATGTATTTTAGGTTTGCCAAGATTCCGGAAAGGCACACGGTGGCCACTGCCATATGCCTACCGTCGCCAGGCCCTCCATTCATGAGACACATCACCCCAATCAAAGAACTGGAAACTTGGCAGGTGCCATTGTAGTCGGTAGTCCCAACAAGCCCACCTTGTGGCGGGCAATTCGGTGCAATAAATTGGGCAGGCAGCATTCCATACCTTTACACTTGACAATCCTTTACCCAGCTTTACAGCACAGCGTGCTGACCAAAGTGGAAAGAAGTGTGCTTCCGCGTCACCAGTATTGCGGATGGCTGCCCTGCGAGCTCATGTAGCACAATCGGAGAGGCAATGAAGCAAAAAGGCTTCAAGGTCATGCCTTCAGTGCGTTGGAAGACTTGTTGTTCGACATGATTTGCTTTGCTTATTACACTCAGCAAACAAAGCATACCGGGCATTGGTTGGTTGCGTTTAACAGTCCACGCCATAGCTCATCCCTTTATGTAACTGCAGGGATGGGGTAGGCCCGCCCGTCCGCCTGGTGTTGCACCCGCGGATTGAACCCAGGCCCGACGCATGGCAAATGCGTCATAGCCACCGGACCATACCAGCCCTTTAAGCATGCCACCGAGGCAATTATGATCAGTGACTGCACAGCTTGCGGGTTGGGCGTCTCCTATTGTCATGATGTGTCTTTCTTGTATTTTTGTGTGGGCTTCTTACTTTTACCGTCCCCGTCCGCCCGGCTCCTTTTTCCTCTCCGCGCTCACAACTGATCTCACACCAAATCAACTCATACTGTACCAAAATGCCATGACGGCTCAACCACTCCTAGGAATGTTGGGCAGGCGAACCACTTGTTGTCGACAGATCCTGGGAACTTGGCAGCCCCACGCATTACCATTCGATTTATATTTGTTGGCACCGAATGCCTATACTCTATTGGAATGAAGGTATTTAAGATAAAGTAAAAATCATAGAAAATAATATAGATTGCAATAAATTATATAATGATAAAATATGTTTAGAAATATATAAACAAATATTAAAAATAAAGGAACAAATGAATTTGGATGAAAAATATATATATATATTGGCCACGGCGGAGTGCGCTTAACTACCCCTATGTCAAAATCTTGGTTTCATTAGGTTTGGTAAGGTCTGGGTGGTGCGTGGGGTGGTGCGCGGGTTGTTCTCGGCAATTTTGTGGTGCGCGGGATGGTGCGGGAGGGGGAAGATCCGCGGGGAATCGCGGGGATCTGCGAAGAACCGCGGGGAGTTCCAAAACACCCTCTTGCTTAGCCTACATACGAGCAAAAACAAGAGGTAGAATCCGGTTCCCGCGGATCCCTGCAGTTCCCCGCGGATCCCCGCGGTTCCCCGCGGATCCCCGCGGATCCCCGCGGATCTTCGCGGATCCCCGCGGATCCCCGCGGTTCCTCGCGGATCCCCGCGGTTCCCCGCGGATCGCTGCGCTTCTCCGCGGATAGCCAGCCTATATTGTAATCAATAGGCTTTTAAGCAGTGGTCAAATGTAACATTGGCCATTGGTGTCCGCGCAAATCCGCGGGGATCCGCGGGGAACCGCGGGGAATCGCGGGGAACCGGATCCTACTTCTATCGCTTAAACCCCGATGTCTTGTTTGCGCACCGCCTCGCACCACTCCGCGCACCGCAAAACTTAGGACAAACCCCCGGGCGTTTTGTTTGCGCACCGCCTCACGCACCGCCCCGCGCACCACCTCCACACACCCCCAGGGCTCCAAAAGCGCGAAACTAGTTAAGCGCACCAAGCTTGCGTCAATATATATATATATATATGTATGTAATTAAGCGCCATTTCCAGATTAAGAGTTCCGTAGCTATTCACGAGGGCCGGGTGCTATGTTCTTCGTTGATTATTTCATCTTATATTTGGTATGATCCTTTGGACTTTCTCAATTTTTTTTTGCGCTCGATTTGTTGATGATAATCGATTTGGAAAACCCGGTCCTAATTCCGGGGGGCTTGAATTCGTGCGCCGTTCCGTTCTATCCCAAAGGATTCGAGCTTGGCGTGAGGGTTACCAACTGATCTTTATTGGTTGGTGGAAGTGGAGGACACCCACATGTTTCTCCCCAGCACGAAAGCTAATGAAGTCTGGACGATGTTTGGCTACGGCCACTTGGTGCACCAATCTCGAATACGGCATATTAAACGGTCATTCCGTCGAACTTGCAAACGAGCACTGATAGCCGGTTATACAACATATAAAGACAAATGCTTCATGGACACGGACGTGTCTTTTCGCCTGAGAGGACAACTGAAGGCAGAGATTCTACGACCTTCTTTGACCCCTCCTTCACGGCAGAAGCCCCAAGCTTCTCTCCTGGAACGTTTCCCGCAGTTTGAATTACCATGAATGGTTGGCCTGAAGATGTCTATGGTGATTTAAGAATCCAATTGGAAGCTCAATTGTCAATGGGAAAATAACCATTGGTACTGCATTCACTCCTAAGCTGTCGCAGCCAGTCAGTTGATTATGGTCCACAAGACCTTATTCCGTGCTTCGATGTTGGCTTATGCAATACTGATTCCAGGACGATTGCTACATATACGACTCATGTTGGATAGAATACATGATTTGTACACCATCTATCAGACGGCCTGGAATACATATCTAAGCCTGTTCGTGTTTTTCTATAAGATAGGCAGGACCTGTGGCGCAAATTGAGTTAAGGCATAACTCATACACCAAATAGTCATACGTTAGTCATCGCTGGGGATTTTAATTGTTCTTTGCAAAAAGACCTTCCGTGCATTGGTAGTCATGATCCTCGCTTTGATATTGCCCTTCAATCAGATAGACACTAATTTTAGCAGATGATTCGAGATCTTTCTTTGGTTGCGGTCCATTGCCGACAGAAATACATACCCATTTTTCTGCATGGCACCCATCAGACTAGAATCGACTTCGTTTTCATGAAATCTTCCCAGATTCGTTGGAAGCAGATGTCTGCAGTAGTGGACTGCCGTTTTGGACGCATCGGGCTACATCAGGGGCCTTGACACAGACCATTGTTGCTGGGTCTCCCTAAATGGCAGGCCGTTCGTAAAAGCTCCTTCAACACTTCAGATACTCGATAATGACACCTCCACCTGGCGCCAGTTCGTACAGGAGGCCCAGAGCTGTATTCTCAGCCACCATGAGCCATGTATCCAGAACCATGTTGATAATTGTCATACAATGGAACAAGAACTCAGACAGTTGTGCCTTGCACATTTCCAAAACCCAAGCGATCCCCCACAACTGACCAGACTGTGAAATCTCTGACGGCACGCATGTGGCATGCGCGCAAATAGGCCCGCATGCTTTTCCACATAACTGTTCGTACCATGTTTCACAATTGACAACACCACACTATCTTTGCTCGATTGCATGCACAGATTCGTAAGCACGGCCGCCTGAATAAAAGAGCCAAACTAGATCAATTCATGCAGGATAATGTCCTACATGTCGTGTCCAGTGCATTTTGATTTTTAATGTTATTGGTAGATTTATGTGTTTAATCTTAAAATAAACATGTTTAGGAATATATATCAAGTAATTGCGTTTTTTTTATTCATTAAATTTCGTTATATTTTGTATTGTTGCATTTGCTTATTTCGGAGAATGTAAAAGGCATTGAGATTGAATGGTGTCGGTGAGTAATTAAATAGATTTAATAAAGGTCGTTTCTATTTTGTTAAAGTTGTATATATAAATTTTTAGAATAATTAAAATTTAAGCAAAATAAAAATTGGAAAGAATAGGATTTATACGAATAATTGTTTATATTTAAATTTACAAAGATATAAATATATATTTTATAAAATAAAATATTTTCCATTTTATATATTTAATAAAAATTTAATATAATATCAAAATAATTATGTCGGTAAGAGATTTTAAATAGTATGTAATCTATTTTATGCGTAATTATGATAGAAAATGGTAGGAGGAGGGGAAGTATTCGCGAATACGAAAGAGGAGAAATAAAAAGGAAAAGAAGTAGGGAGAGTAGAATTTACGAGTACGAAATAGGAGGTGAGTGGTTAATTCGAAGAGATAAATCGAATAATTAATTGAAATGTTTGATAAATATAGTGTTTAATGCGGAAAAATTCAAATCACGAAAGGTAGCGGTTACGCTACCTGAGTTTTCCTTTTGCTTTAGCAAAAATGTATTAACC